TCTGGGATGTGGGAGGAGGAAGATATTTATTATATATATTATTAAATGTATATATTTCTGTCTTTTAAATTTTATGCTGTATATATATTATCTATTCACAATTAAATAACTTATAGCAAAGAAAAAACATTAAGTGAACGATGTGTAGATGACCCCATGTCATAAGCACCAAGAGAGGAAATACCTTGTGTTTGCTTCCAAGGACAGAAGGGTCCATGGCAAATCTTCACCTGCAGGCCGGGTCCTCCACGACTTGCAGCTGGACCACGGAAGCTGATGTTCAGACAGTCAGGCACTTGCTTCAGGGTGAGCCTGAGTGAAAGGGAAGAACGATAAACCTGTCACTAGGAGAATTCAAAGCTGGCAATAAATGGCAAGGCTCTTGTTCCCACAAAGACACCGAGAAGAGCCTCTGGGGATCCTGGCTCGCCCTGGACACACCGCTGTGCTGGAGCTGTCACTCAGTGGGACAGCAGGTGCCCAACAGGCACAAGGCCCTGAGTTCAATCCCCTGCTCCAGAAAAGGAAGAGCTACATGAGGCCCTTGGAGACTCGGGGACCCTGAGGATAAAGGAGTGCTGTCCTTTCCAAAGGTTTAGGAAGGCTCACCAGTTGCAGCCACCCTTTCCTGAGGCAGTCCTGATTTGGAGGTGACGGAATTGTTCTAACCCTCCTGGTATAATCTGGGTTTACAAGGGCAAAGGCTCCACAGAGATGTTACAAGAGGAACAAAGCCTCAGGGCCAAGCGGGACCGACGCTCAGGCCTCTGGGCTGGCTCCATCAAGCTGCTCCTCACTTGCCCTCCCCCTGCCTCTGCTTACTCACCTCTTCCAATGCCTCCCTGGGTGGCCACCCCACCCCTCTGGGATCTCAGCAGAGGCTGCAGGCCTCGGGCCAGCCCTCCAATCACACCTTCTCTTGGTCAGAGGAGGCAGAACAGGTTCCTGTGTGTTTATCCATCTCCCTGGCAACACAGGCCTCCACAGGAGCTGCCATCCAGGTATCTGTGGGTTTGTTTCCTGCCTCTCCTTAGGTATAGGTATGTTCTGCCTCTCTGAGGCTGAGACCAATCTACCCCCAGTTTCTGCATGGCTAGCTGCCCCCCACCCCGCCATGATTCATAATTGGCAAAGGCCAAACTGTGTGGAACTGAGAGAAATTGTGTTTCTCACACTCCCTCTAGCCAGAAGGCTCCCAGGCCTACCCATGACCCCCTGCCTACCCATCCCTCTACATAGCAGCTCAAGTCCTTGTCAAGCCAAGCGGCACCATCTCAGACCCTCCCACCCTCCAGGTGCACATGCTCCTGCCTCTGACTGAGAACACGACTGTGTGTCCTGTTCCGTTTCCACAAAGATGGCTGCATATCGTGCTCTGCTCAACTAGAACGTTTGTTTCAGGCCACTTTTTAAAAAGTGCAGCTCCTTCAGCAACTCCTGCTGCCACTCTATTTTGTGGCGTGAGTGCTGCCTCTTATCTGCCCTGACAGGAAGGTGGCCACTTGTATGGCCTGCACTACCCAGTCTCAAGTCCCTTGTCAGAGACCCTGAAAGAAGTGGGGTAGAGGGCAGGGTTGGCGTGAAGGCTCTGCTGCACACTGCCTGTCCCCGCGCCACCAGCCCAGCCTTCGCACACCATCCCCGTGATGCTTACTGTGCTTGCCTCCCCATCCTCCAGTCAGCCAGCACCGCGAACGTCCCGCTTTCTCCCCAAGGCTCACCGCCTGAGCTACACTCCATGTGTGTTTTGAGCCGTCCATCCCCAGACACTCTGTAAGTGCCAGGAAGGCGGAGGCCTAGGTCCACCTGTGCTGTTGCCAGGGTCTCTATCCATAGGGTCACCCGGGTCACCCGCAGATGCTCAGGGCTGTTTGTCAATCAGTGACTGGAGATGGAAGGGAAAGACGGGGAGAAGCTGGAGGACCACGGGAGAAGCAGACGTCAGGAGTGCAGATCCAGGAGCTGAGGAAGCTTCTCCTTGCAGGGTAGGAAGCCCCTGTCTGGCACCCACACACACGCACAGACACACAACCTACAGTGGTTTTGGTGGATGAATTCCCCGAGGCAGGAACTGCATCGGTCTTGTTCACCACCGTATCCTTGCAGCTGGCACAGTGCCTGGCGCTCGCAGAAGGCTCTAGATCTCTATTTGCTACATGAATGAGGGGGGTGAGTGACTGGCACTTGGGGCCGTTTGGACTCAGGGTGGAAGGCCTCTGGAGGGTCTGCCACCTCACCGCAAGGGCAAGAATGGGGGACAAAGGCTGGGAAGAGCAGGGAGCCCCAAACATCGGGGGGGGGGCAGCATCAAGAGAGGTGACTGCCTCGATGTAAATGAAAAGAAGACCCTAGCGTGGTCTACCCAGAAGACTTGGAAATAAGCCCATGCTGCCCGGCCTGCGCCCTGCCCCAAAGTTGGCAACCAGGGCTGCCTGATCTCAGTGCTGGTTTCCAGCCTGGCAGAGTGGCGTGGCTGGAGAGAAAGGTTAAGTAAGACTGATCGGGTAATAGTAACAGTATAACCATCTTTAATTCCAACAGGGGGGCGGGGGGCAGCCAGAGAGGGCTCTGGGACGAAGAGTGACGGCTGCTTTCCCTGGGAACTTGAGATGGGCTCCCAGCACCCATATTTGACAGCTCAGTTTCTTTTTTGGTTTTTCCAGATAGGGTTTCTTGGGACAGGGTTTCACTGTACAGCCCTGGCTGGAGCTCAGTAGACCAGGCTGGACTTTGTAGAACAGGCTGCCTTCAAACTCACTGTGCACCACCACCCAACTCACAATTTCTTTTTGTTTTTTGTTTTTTGTTTTTACGAGACAGGGTTTCTCTGTTTTGGAGGCTGTCGGTCCAGCCTGGCCTCGAACTCACAGAGATCCGCCTGCCTCTGCCTCCCGAGTGCTGGGATTAAAGGCGTGCGCCACCAACGCCCGGCTCAACTCACAATTTCTTAAAACTCCAACTCCCAGGGATCCAGTGCGCTCTTCTAGATCCCAAGGGAACCTGTCCTTTGATCCCAGCCCTCAGGAGGCAGAGCTGAGTTTAAAACTTGGTCTACTTAGGAGTTCAAGGCCAGTCAGGGACACACAATGAGTCTCCCTCTTTCTTTCACACAGAGTGTGGAAAGAGATGAATTAGAACTGACAAGTTGGCCAGGTGTTGGAACAGAGCTAGTTCCAGGACAGCCTCCAAAGCTACACAGAGAAACCCTGTCTCGAAAAACAAAAAAAAAAAAAAAACAAAACAAAACAAAAAAAAAAGATGGGCCTGTGAGCAGAGCTACCCAGGAAGCCTATGCCCAAGTGGTGATCATTACAGGCCTGTCTGTCTGTCTTCCTTTCCTTCCTTCCTTGTTTATTTTGTTCTTTTGAAACAAGGTCTCACTATGTAGCTCTGGCTGTTCTGGAACTATATAGACAAAGCTGGTCTTAAACTCAGAGATCCTCCTGCCTCTGCCTCCTGAGTGCTGGGATTTAAGGTGTGCACCACTATGCCAGGCTCCCAGGCTTACTTCTAATAGTCTTACGAAGAAGAGAGTTCACAGGCCAAGCAGCATGTGGATGGTGAGACAGACTGTTAAACTCTCGCACAGCTACACATGAAAAGTCACTGTGCAACAGAATGAAACTGACTAAAGTGGGCGTGGTGGCACAGGCCGTAGCCCCAGACTCGGAGGCTGGGGGATCTCTGTGAGTGTGAGGCCAGCCTGCTCTACAGGGTGAGTTCCAGGCCAGCCAGGGCTAACCAATGAGAGCCTGTCTCAAAAAACAAGAATAAAAAATGGAAACAGTAAAAGCAGACAAATGACACAACCACCAAAGTAGGTCTCAAGAGGACAATGTAGAGTGAAAAAAGTCACCTGGCCCCAAAAGGTGACTTCATAATTTCACTGACTGACATTAGCTCTCAGAGATGGGGGACTGAGACCAATGGCAGAGTAATGAGAGCAGACTGGAAAGAGAAGCACTGTGATGTGGTGACGCTGGGGGCTACCTTTGTGGTCACACAAACCTGCGCCACAACACTTCGAGAAGAACACGTGTCAGTACACGCACACACACCTGTCACACACACCCCTCTCTCTTACACACCTGTCATACACACACCCATCACACACACACCCTCTCTTACACACCTCTCACACACCCCTTTATCTCACACACACCCCTCATACACACACCCCTCTTACACACCCCTCTCACACACATACCCCTCTCTCACACCCCCTTTTCTCTCTCACACACACAAACACGAATGCACACACGCACACAGGGCTATCTGCCTGAGCTCTGGGGACCTCGTCACTGCCGACACTGACTGATACTATAGTACTGAGGGAAGACAGGATGGAGGGAAGTATGGGGATCTGAGTCACAATGGACTTCAGCGTACATGTTTCTGCAACATCCTGCTCAATCTGAGTTATTTAAGATGGGGGTCTTATGTAGTCCAGGGTGGCCCCAAACTCACTATGAACCCATGGAAGGCCTTGGACTCCTGACCTCCATGCCTCCACCTCTGAATGCTGGGATTATGAGTGCTGTGCCATGCCTGCTCACTGTAATTACTTCAAAAGGAAAATTCAAAGATCCATCAGATATATACTGACAGAGTGAGGGATGCAGAAGCCGTCTGTGCCCTCGCACCTGTACACAATGGAAATTACACAGGAAGAATTAGGGAAAACAGATAAAACATGTGACAAAACGCTAAGTACTGCAGTTGGGTGAGGAATCTTTCTTTACCCCCCTACAGATAATTTTTCTTGAGTAAGGAGGACTCCTTAGGGTTTCATACACTCTCTAATTTGGGAAAGCTGAGTCAAGAGACTTGCCAAATTCAAGGTGTGCCTGAACTGCAGAGTGAGTTCAAGGCCAACCTGGGCAACTTAGTAAGACCTTGTCTCAAAACTAAAAGTTGAAAGAAAAAAAAAGCTAGTTTTATACCCAAGAAAAGCAGTATATAATACTTATTACCCGCCATTTGAAAGGTCCTAGGTTCGATTCATTTACCAAGTTTTTATTCTGAATTTTATTACAGGCTTTTTCCTAAGTTACACTTTATTTTCCCTCTAAGAAGACTCTCCCAACTTATAAAAATAGAAATATATAGATATACATTGAGAATTCTGTCTCAGCACAACACCACCCAGGTCAATGTCCCAGCATCTCTGCTCTAAGAGAAATCACAGCTCCGAGGCCAGGGCAGCTAGAGCCCCTCCCCCCACCTCCCACAACATGCCTGACCAACAGGCATTGGCTTCGGACAGTGACCATGGTGCAGCAGGGTGCTGACTAGAAGGGGCAGGAAGGACAAGGAGTGGCAGCTCCTAACTGGCCGGGCACTGGATTTCAGCCGCTGGTCATGAGCTGTCAAGTGCATCCCAAGCTCTCACAATGGAGGCCAGTTGGTCTTGTTCCCATCTGGAAGTTCTGAGTCACTATGAAAATACTCCTGTTTGGTTGAGAGCCCAGAAAGCTCACTTTCTCACCACTTTGTGACCTTTCTTCAATTTCAGACAGAGCTTTTTTTCCTCCAGGCAAAGGGACCAAAGACTCCAGAGTACAGCGGGGAAGTTGCAACCTCCCTGCCCAGATGCGTAAGTGATCATAGCATGCGGCAGGACCACCAAGCCGGGAGACACAGTGAGTTCTGGGATAGCCTGGGCTACAGAGTGAGAGCCTGTCTCAAAAACACACGGGGGGTCGGGTGAGAGGTGAAAAAGAGGAGGAGCGGCAGCGGCCAAGGTGGAGTATGGAGAGAAATATTATACACGGCTCAGCGCTCCGACCCTGGAAGGACACAGCCTCTTCCTATCATGTTCCATGTGTCCATCCACTCTGCCTTGGGTTTGGTTTCTCAATGCCTCTTTTCAGAACCAGCCAAAGACAGCAACTTGCAGTGTCTTCCCTGAGGCAGGGTTCACGATTAGTGGGGAAAGCAAGGGATGGCATCTTCTTCCCAGGGAGGTGCAGGAGGGTGGGGACAGACTTGCTCCTTGACAGTTCTGCTCTCAGCAGGACCCTCGGGCGGGAGGACCGTGGCTTCCACCATCAGCTGTGTTTCTCAACTAAGCCTCGCCCTCAAAACAAGCCCCACCCCACCTGCTAAGCCCTCTTCAAGGTGTATTATCCCAGAAGAACTAACCACACCACAGGCTCCGGTCAGACCGTCATCACCAGAAGGGTGCTCTGAGACCCATGTTCAAGGGGATGTCCCCAGTGATCCGCTTCAGTCAATGCTGGTCAGAGATAAGGCCACTCTGATGGCCACTGTCATCTTCATTAACACATGTACTCCTAGCTCCTGCCAGCCCCAGATCAAAGCCACAGTGTGGGCCTGTTTCTAACATGATGAGGGTTACAAAGTCACTTTCCATCAGTTCCACAGGGATCTTGGGGCCCAAGTCCAGAGAGAAGTGAGATGAGGTTCTGGGCTGGTAAATCAATGCCATGATTCTTGTGGGGGATCCGGGTGGCCTGGAAGACATACTTGGCAGAGAGTGGGCCCTTTTCTTCCTGCCACTTTCCCTGGCCCTCCAGGTTTCAGAGGAATGACGTCCTGGGATTAGTCAATGCGTCAGCAGCAGCCCCCTGGCCTGTTTGCAAAGCAGGCTGTCTTCAGAGACGGCGCTACTGACATGATACGGCCTGGGCAAGGGCAAAAGGATGTCACCTTCTTCTCCCTCTGATTTCACGCCCCCAGGAAAGCGGCGTCCTCTCCCTTACAGGGCGGTTTCCATCCCAGCTCAGGAGAGGGACCTGGAAAGGAGAAGAACCAGAGAGCCTGCCAGGGGCCTCTTGCTCTCCTGGGAGGGAGCAGCTCTAGGCTGGCAGGGTGGCCTTGGCTGCAGGACACGGACATGGAAGTGCAGAGGGTGCATGCGGGAGCCAAGGAGGATAGGCAGGGAAGACGACTTCCTCTGGCCCAAGTAGTGCTCCCCAAGCTTGCACCCACTGGTGAGCCTGTTCCTGCCAAGAACAAACAAGCAGACTGGAGCAGGCCTGTACCCCAGCCTCCAACTCACTTCTTCCTGCGGATCTTGGGCTTCTTCACGGGGCGCAGGTAGGGGTTATCAATGACGCTCTCCTCCCCGTTCCGGCTGCCAGACAAGGAGGAGTTCTGCTGCAGCACAGAAGCGTTCTCTTTCTCAGCTCCAGAGTCGCCCTTTGAGTAAAAGCCGAAATAAAGCAGAGCACCAGTGCTGTGAGGAGAGAGATGCCCACAGCCACAGCCACCAGCGCTGTGAGGAGAGAGATGTCTCCTGAGAAAGGAGACGATGGAGCCACTGTCTTTCCAGGGTCGCCATCTCTGCCCCAGACTCAGTGAGACCTGGGCAGGGCTGGCTCGAAAGGGAGCTTTGACAAAGTGAAAGACTCCAGGGCCCTCAGCCTCTTCAGAAGGTGGGGGGTGTGAAGTAATGGAGACCTGGGAGTGGGGGCTAGAATTTAGATGCTTAGGGAGGAAGCCTAACCCAACAGCATGACAAAAGTAGCCATGGGTACTGTGGAGTAAGAGACACAGGGTTGCCGGGCAGTGGTGGCGCACACCTTTAATCCCAGCACTCGGGAGGCAGAGGCAGGTGGATCTCTGTGAGTTCGAGGCCAGCCTGGTCTACAAAGTGAGTTCCAGGACAGCCTCCAAAGCCACAGAGAAACCCTGTCTCGAAAAACCAAAAAAAAAAAAAAAAAAAGAGACACAGGGTTAGAACGCATCAGCGAACAGAATAGCTCTCCTAGGCCCAAACTAACACATTTGTCCAAAATCTCTCATCTCTGGCACTTGGAACAAGGGACATATAACCATATTCCACCATATTCCAGAACTTTCTGGAATCCTGAAGTAAAGCTCACCAAGGCAAAGCAGTTTGCAGCAGATGCCACATATATATATTATCAATGCCTGTCACCTGTCAATCAGACTCTTTATTTTAATTTATTTTTGTTCTTTAAAGTGAGCAGTGGCAGCAGGGTCAGGGCATGAAATATACCAAACCCTGACCTGGCCACTCAGGCAGGCCTGGAGACCAGAAGCTGGCCTGGCAGCGCCCCCTGGTGACACACCAAGAGTTCCCTGGAGGAACTGAGTACTCCTCTAATAGATTTAAAGGAGACCTCAGACCCTAACCAGCAGTGGCTGCTGTCACTGTGATCCTGTGACCAGATGGCACAATATGAATAGAGAGTTAATTCTTCTCAAGGGACAGTTGGCCTGGGGTGAGGACACCGGGCTCTGCTTGCTGGCCTGAAGACTCTGGGTGGCTCCTAGGTTTGCCACAAACCCACAATATCCCATTAACTCTGCTCTCCCCAAAAGCCACTCTCCTGAAGAGAACACATGCATGACTCCTCCTGCAGTAAGCCCGATGAGTGGACCTTTAGCCACCGGAGTCCCTCTCCAAAACAACTGCCCCAAGTCCAGCTGCGCTCATGTGGGGCCAGGTATGGGGGAGGTCTGTGTGGACACCCGCTCCTGGCCTGCCTGAGTTCTTAAGGGTTGAACAGAGCATCATCATCGACCATTCCCTCAGACTACCATTCCTCCACATCCAAACTCAACGTTACTCAGAGGCCACTTCAGTCCTGCCTTACACATGTTCTCAGTGAGTGACATGAAGGGGTAAAGGCCAGCTCTAGGTCCCACAAAAGTAGGATGTTAGGTGTTTCTCTAACAAGGACAGCTTGTGGAAATGTTACTTTCTGGTCCCCTTCAGGCACAGGCAGCTTTGAGACAGGAAGTAAAGCACCCATCTAACCCAATTATTTGTAGAAAAAATAAGGGGGGGCCAGGTGGTGGTGGCGCACGCCTTTAATCCCAGCACTCGGGGGGCACTCGGGAGGCAGAGGCAGGTGGATCTCTGTGAGTTGAAGGCCAGCCTGGTCTACAGAGCAAGTTCCTGGAGAGGCTCCAAAGCCACAGAGAAACCCTGTCTCGAAAACAAACAAACAAACAAAAAGGGGTGGGGGCCTTGTCACAAGCTCCTTGGGCCACCTGTGCAAGGCAGGAGGACACCAACAACCCCTACCTGTCTCTGGATGTCCATTCTGCTTCCATGCCAGAGGTTCCAAGTCGGCCCCCAACCCTGTGATCTCTCACCACCACCAGTTCAGACTCCCATCCGCTTGCCTCACAGCTTCATATGAGCAGCCTGCAGGCACCTCACATTCAGTGTGCCTCTGTTTCCCTAGGTCACCCACTCCAGTCCTCCCACTGTGGGGGCACAGCTACCATCCTTCAGGTGCTCTGAGCCAGGGGGTCTGCAATCAAACTTGTTTCTTTTCTGTCTCTTGGCTTTATCATCAATCCAATCAGACGTCTCCCCTGCCCCTGCTGTGAGCACCCAGGGAAGAGGAGCCACATCTATCCCCTGGCCTACGGCTGTGGCACTGTGACAGCTTCCCAACAGTAGCATCGCCCTTGGACCCACACCCAGCACAGCCATCAGTGATGCTTCCAGAAGTTCAGAAGTGCCCTCCTGTAACAGCTGGTCCCATCAGATTGGCCCTTCCCTGGCTCTCCATCCCAAACACTGGTGTTTCTCCGGCCCTCCGCACCAGCCATTACTTCTGCAAGGACTCTTTCTCAGAGAGTGGCACGGCTCACCTGTCCTCTCCCCTTCGAGTCTCCTGCTTGGTGGCCGACTCTCGGGTCCTATTACTGAGCGGCAAAGCCTCCACCTCACCACGCTCTGTTCTGTCCCGACACTCTCATCTTTAACACTGATGACTTCACAGACTACGTTTGAATCCATTCTCCCATTGTAAACACTGGCTCTCCCAGGCAGAACTTTATCTGCTGGGGTCATTGTTTTCCTCTAAGCAGCCAGAATGAAATCTGACAATGGTCAGGTGCTCACTGAGATGACTGGTGCGGTTTCTCATCTAAGAGTAAAAGTTAAACTTCTGGTTGCTTGCAGCTCAAATGTATGAGAAAACAAAACCCAAACTATTAACCACTCTAAAACTAATGGTCCCTTATGTTCAAGGACATGGAGAAAGAGGTCAGGGTTAAGACAGACCCTGAGAGACACAGTCACCAGGAGATAAAAGGACAGTTTAAAATTGGTCATTGAGTGATGTGACTGTGTGCCCTGCTATCATCCCAGCACTTGGCAGGGGAGGGATCAGGATTTTTTAACACATGGTTACATTTTTGCAGCCCACCAGAATAGCAACAAGTCCAAATAACTGTCTTTTTTGTGTACTTTGTATAGAAGAGCATATGGCTGGCTGTACAGCCTGAAACAGCAGAGGGTACCACAAGCTCCCTCGACCTCAGGCTGGCCTTGCAGGTACTATGCCCACTGCCTGCAAAGCTCACCGAGACACATGGTCAAACACCACCTTCTACATTCTACCCCCTTCCACGGGTCCATCGGAGCCTCTTTAGCTCCCTGAGGGCGGGGCTTTGTCAGGCTTGCCTTCTACTGGGTTCCCGGCACCTGGAATGGCATCTGGGCCCTCGATGTTCACCAACAATTGCTAAACAAGCCACTCCCTAGATGCGTCTTGGGATGGAGACTAGTCACACAGGCCCACCATGCAAGCTTCTAACAGACAGCCAGAGACCTGGGGAGGCCCTGCTCAGCTCCCAGGGCGGGGTCTAGTGTGGGATGTGTGAGGCCGGCAGAAGGGGAGAACCCACCGTGCTGACATGAAGAGCGGCGTTCTCTGTGTCTGTCTGCTCATCCTGTTCTGAGGAGTCTGTCTCTTCCATCTGCTGGATCTCCAGCTCAGAGGGAAGCAAGGCTGTGAGGTAGGGGACGGTGAAAGGTCTGGCAGCAATCACTGGGGATTGGAAGAGAGACATCACTCTGTCGAGCAGCCAGAGGGAGCCAGCTATGAATGTTGCCCAGTTACCATAACCTCAAGCTAGATAATTGCCCTTTCCCACAAGCCTCTGTGTTCTGCTAACTCACAGGTCTGGTGGCTGCCTGAGGTGATATGTGGGGAATGGCCAGCAGGCACCAAATGGACACTTACTGAGTGAACAGACCAAGCTCCCCAATCGCCTCTGCATAACTCAAGGTCCCCTATGGATATGAGTGACTTGGTCAACAAAGCTTAAATGAGACATAGCCCAGGAAAGGACATTGGTAAGCAACTGGCTGCAGATGCCAGTGCTCCTCCTACTACCCAGGCCGCCGCCTCCACAGGAGACTTTGCTGCCCAGGGCTCAGCCACCAGTGAGGTAACCTAAGCTCACTGCCTTGAGCAGCCAACATATAGAAGCCTTTCCGTTTGGAGTCATCAGTTAGGAAGAGTCTCTCAGGGCTTGGAGGAAGGATCTAGAGATCTGAAGAAACTGCACTAGAGAAAGACACGAAGGCTTACTCGTCTCTCTCCACCACATTGAGAAAAAAGAAAGACGGTGTGATAATCTCAAACAACAAAACAGGGTTCCCAGAGGGGTGACTCTCACAGGGGAAAGTGCTGACATCATCCTTGAAAAGACTCTGGGTCTCGCCTGTCTTGGCCATGAAGCGGGTGAGCGCTCGCTCCACATCTCGTCTCTGAGATGCAGCCTTCTCTCGAAGGACCTGGTAGTCAGACACTGGTTCACGGTATGTCTGGAACAACAGAGACACCAGGCTAAGCCCATGCCACATTCAGCTCTCCTTCGGCCCTCCCTTCCTGCAGCTATGTCCCACGACCTGGTGACTATCGTTAGAGTGAAGCAAATATTTACTACATAGTTGACCATGGCAGCCAGACTCAGGTATAAGACACTCGTCCTCAGGGAAGACACAGAAGCCCCACGAGCCTTGACCTCTGTTCCATCAGAGCAGCTTGGCATCCTTCAGTGAGTGAGCGGTGGCCCAAGCGCATTTGCATACTGTGTCATCTTGCTTTTTCCAACCCACCCTCTCCAAACAGACACACTGGTCCAAAAGGATTCCTCTAGAATTACAGAATCCTGGCGTGGTAGCACATGTCCCTAATCTCATCACCTGAGAGGCAGATGTAGGCAGATCTCAGTGAGGTCAAGGTCAGTCTAGTCTTAGGAAGGTGACAGAGGGAGGACAGAGGGGTAACGATACACACTTGTAATCCCAGCACTTCAGCAGTAGAGGTGGGAGGACCTGGAGCCTGAAGTAATCTTTTTTAACTACATACTGAGTTGGAGGCCAACCTGAGCTGTCTGCGGCTCTGTCTCCAAAACCATCACTAAAAGGAACTTTTTTTTTTTTTTTTTTGGTTTTTCGAGACAGGGTTTCTCTGTGACTTTGAAGGCTGTCCTGGAACTCGCTCTTGTAGACCAGGGTGGCCTCAAACTCACAGAAATCCTCCTGCCTCTGCCTCCCGAGTGCTGGGATTAAAGGTGTGTGCCACCAATGCCTGGCTTCTTACATTATTTTTATTGTCAGGATCCATTAACATACCATATTAAGAGATATGAACACTATGAATTAAACTGTATTCCCATAAAAAAAATGTTTAGATATAGTGAGCTAAATCCTGGCATCTCACATGACTATTTGTCAAGAGTCACCAAAAATGTCACTGACTAGGAAGAGTCGTGAAGTAGGGATAATGGTGTCCTATGGGAAGACAAAGTAAACTGTAGAGGTAGAAAGCCAGCACCATGTAGAGGGGACAGGAAGACGGGAGTGACACGTTGACACACCCTGAGAGAGGGCAAGGTGAACGTGGATCCCCTCACAGGATTTACAGGGAATATGGCCCTGATAACACCTTGGTTTTGAACGTCTAGGCCCCAGGCCTATGAAGTAATTCACGTCTACTGCTCTAAGTCGGCTACTTTGTAGCACTTTCTCATAGCAGCTCCAGGACACTTTGAGAGACTGCAGTCCAGGGCAACTGTATCGATTCCTTCTGGAGTCCTATCTCTCTTAGAGACAGCATCTCTGTAGCCCAGGCTGGCCTCACACTCATGGCCACCCTCTGCCTCAGCCTTCCAAGTGCTGGGGTTACAGGGGTGAGCCGTCATGCCTGAAACAAGATTGCTTCTCTCTAGGAAAGCTTTTATCCGCAGCCTTCCCTTGGCTGGTTTACATCATTCACAGCCCCTGGGTGGCTCCGCCACTCACCGGAGTTTTGATGTAGGTGTGGGGATCCGGAAACTCAGGAAAATGGCTGGGGATGTGTGGTGGGTGGGGCCTGTTCTGCCCTGCAGTGAGGGCCTTGGGTGTCACTGGCTGATTGGTCACTGGAGCTGCAACAGAATCACAACTGGTTACTTCTCCAACCCCTGCAGTCTACAGACAATAGTGCCTCTTCAGCCCCGCCCCCCCACATCTTCCCACTGGACCATGATTAAGCACCTTGTATTTCCATTGATAAAAAGTCGTCCATAACCTTTTCAGATCAGCACACACTGCCCTGCCTTGCCAGGTAATCTTGCTTGATATTTCAATCTGTGACAACCTGCCTGTAAGCCCCTTGCATCAACACCAAAGTCACTACATAAAGAACATGCTAAAGTCCATTATGGGCGTTAAATGAGTTGTTAGTTTTCTTCCCAGAGAGTGAGGGCACTTGGTGCAGCACAGGCCCGGCATGCAGAAGGCCCTGGGGTCCAATCCCCAGCGCGCACACACATTTCAGAGACCCCAAATAACAAACACTGTAAGAGGGGAAGGAACAGCGCCTACCACAGCTTCTCTCCAGCGCAGGTGGCACGATGGCTCAGTGGGGAAAGACTGCTGCCACCAAAGCCAGTCTCCAGGACCCACATGGTGGAGGAGACAGCTTCACAGCTTTCCTCTGACAGCCACACGTACACCACACACACACACACACACACACACAAAAACAGGTGCAATATCTAACATGATGCCAATGAAAAAAAGTGACTTTAAGAAACAAATATAGCAAAAAAAAAAAAAAAAGAAAGAAACAAATATAGCAATCCCCCCAAGTCCTAAAGACTAAAGCAGTTACTCCTTACTTAGTTTAAGGGACCCCATTTATCCTAAAGCAGAAGTAAACTCTTTACATAATAGGATACACGATACATATTTCAGACTTCTTTTGTTTGCTTGCTTTTTGAGTCAGAGTCCTGCCTGTGTATCTCAGAATTCTAGAGCACATCCTCACTCCTCCCACGTGCTAGGATTACAAGAGAAGCCAGCAAGCAGTGGCAGTTTAGATTATGCAAGCCACAAACCCTGCCTTTATGACATAAAAGCAATCACAGACAAATGAGTACAACTGCATGCCAATAAAATTATATTTACAAAAGCAAGCAGTGGAGCACATTCTGTCCATAAACCATATTTTATCATCCCTGATCTAAAGGAGCAAGAACTTGCATAGTCTTTCTGCATCATTGCTTGCTCTTCAGGTTAAAGTACTACAGCAGTGGTTCAGACTGGCTTAGAACCCTGCTGTCCAGTTAAAACCAAGCCGTGGGTGGCTAACGCACCCACACTGGAAGGAAGCTTGCAACAAGGCAATAGCTGCCACTCTGATGCCTGACCTATTCTCCAACGGAGTCCCACTATAATCATTGCATACTTACTAAATCCCCGGGTTCAAAGCCACTTACGTGCAGTGATGACCATTCTCTGGGATCGTTTTGCATAAGCAGGAAGAGTGTCCACATTGAACCCTAGGGACAAGAAAGCCAATCATTGCCTAGGCCATTGGATACTGAACATGGAGAGTGAAGTTAACAGTGTGAAAAGGGGGCTTAAACTCCCAACTGAGTCACTATTCTGCCCCTCAAAAGAAGACCCAGCAGAGCTCCCCAACAAGGACTTAGGGGATCTCCAAGATGGGCTCAAAGGATTCCTTCCTCTTAACTTTCTAAACCAAAAGCAAATCAAGGAAAACATGAAGGAATCCATGAACACTCAGCAGACACCCCAACCCCCAGGCCTCCCTCCCTCCCTAGTGGTCCTAACTCAGAGAAGGGAGAGTACTGGATGCTGGAGATGCACTCACCCATTTCGACCAGTGTGACCACGATATCCGACAGTGTGGGCTGGGTCCTAGCAGTGTGCTCGCAGTAAGACTTGGCACTTCTCCCAATTTCTGAGATGTCTACAAGAGTCAAAGGCCATGGTTCCTCCAAAGTTACATATAGGATCACCAGGTGAGCCAGCAGTCCTACTGTGTGTGTGTGTGTGTGTGTGTGTGTGTGTGTGTATGTGTGTATATGTGTGTGTATGTGTGTGTGTGTGTGTGTGTGTGTGTGTGTATGTGTGTGTGTGTGTGTGTGTATACACCCAATGACCAAAGGCGGGGCTCAAACAGGCACTTGTACACCTCACACAGAAGCCCAAATTCACAACTATCAGAAGGCAGGAAGGAAACTGACAAATGGATGAATAAACCAAGGGGTATACACACAAAACGGAGCATGTTGTTTGCTTATTTTTAGACAGGTTCTCAAACTCCATTTGTAGCAGAAACTAGACTTGAACTCCTGATATTGTTGCCTCCACCTCCCAAGGGCTAGAATTACAGGTGTGCCCACCCTATCCAACTCGACAAGGGAGTAAGTAGTCAGCCTTCAAAAGGAATGAAATTCTTCAAAAGGAATGAAATCTGTAACATGGATAAATTTTAAAACATTATGTTAAATGAAATAAGCCAGGCACAGACAACAGATATTTTCAGATTCCATTTATCTGATGTACAGAGAAAAAGCAAAGCCAAAGTCAGGGAAATGGCTCAAAGGTAAGGTGCCTCCTGCCCATGACCTTAGCTCCATGCCCGGGGCTCATACAGTGGAAGGAACAAACTGATTCCCACAGGTTATCCTATGACCTCCATACGTGTGCTATGGCATGCATACAGTCCCTAGCACATACACAAATAAGTAAATAAGACTAATTTTTTGTTTTGTTTTTTTCGAGACAGGGTTTCTCTGTATTGTTTTGGAGGCTATCCTGGAACTCGCTCTGTAGACCAGGCGTCACCCTTCCAAGAAAAAGGGGGCAGTATCTAAGATGGCGTTTCTGAAGTCCAGGGTGTCCTGGTACTCACAGCTCTGCAGCATCTCCGTCAATGTTTCCACAGATGCTTTCTCAGCGCTCTCAAATCCAGCCTCTGTCAGCAAGGAGCTCACAACCACTTGCAGAGTCCTCCTCCGGGCCAGGTGGTAGTTATCAGCAGGGTTAGTGGACTGCTTACTTCCTGATCGCTGAGAATCAGAAGCCCAGAAAGAGGACACCTTTAACCACTAGACAAGGATGCAACCAGAGCTCACACACAGTCGATGGCAAGCAGAAGTCACACTGTGGAGTTCACTCAAGCCGGCCTAATGCTAGAGACATAACCTAGGATGACATTGCCATCCTCTAACTTCAACCTCCAAGCATACAAATTACTGGTGTGTAGCAACTTTTGCCTGGACAGCAAAGGTTCTCTTTATCAGTGTTTAATACTTAAACTTACAGATCTCACCAAATGAGTAATAATTGGGCTTCCAAATCCAGAGGCTTCCAATAGGGTAAACACTACTTGCTCAAAAAAAAATATAATTACATGTAGGTGTGTGTGTGTGTGTTGTGTGTGTTCATGTGAGTGCAAGTGCCCCCGGAAACCAGAGAGGGCATCGGATTGCATTGAGCTGGAGTTACAGGCGGTTGTGAACTGACCCACGGAACTCCGGTGTTCTGGAAGAGCAAAAGCAGGTCTTAACCACTAAACCATCTCTCCAGTTCCTTCACCTCTTTCTGGAGCAAATTATCAGAATATATATACACGAGCCGTGGTGGTGGCGCACGCCTTTAGTCCCAGCACTCGGGAGGCAGAGGCAGGTGGATCTCTGTGAGTTCGAGGCTGGCCTGGTATTCGGAGCGAGTTCCAGGACAGCCTGGGCTACACGAGAACCCTGGGCGGGGGGATATATAGAATTTATACACGAATTATGGGATTGAGCGGATACTGTCTCTTGTTCCATCTCCACACCACTTCATTAACGAGGAAAATTAAAACGGCAACAACATCGGACGCAGGGGAGGGCTGCACTAACTTCAAAGACCGGCAAGGAAGGTAACTATTTCGAAAAGGAACTCCCTTCCAACTGTAGCTGGCCAGTAAGAGGACGAAAACAGCCTCTTCGGACCAATCAGAAGGAGTTCCGGGTTCCCACCCAACAGGGAGCGAGCCAATCATGTCGCGGGTGCACCAATTTGGGAGGCCGCCGCCAAATCCCGAGCAGCGGGAACCCGTTAGGCCAGAAAGACTTTCTAATCATCGGATCTCAGAATGGGCTTGGGTTTCTCTGTCCGAGATTGTGGCCCAAACCAAGGAAAATGTCCAGAAGACCCAAACCCTCTCGGCTTTACGCCGCGCCTTCCCACCCTTACCGTTCCAGAGCCACCAGGCCCGGCCGCCGTGTCGGCCATCTTGCTCTCACGTAGTGCGCGTGAGCGCAGGGCACGATGGGACTTGTAGTTGTCGGGTGGGGAGGTGGCGAAGGGCGTGGCCACAGGTGCCCCGCCTCGCGGTAAAGTGTGTGTCGTGGATGGGTGGGAGCAGAGGTGGGAAGACCCCAGCTCATGTGACTGTGTGAGCCTAGCTTTCGCGGGCCTTTTAGCCACTATGGCAGTGGCTCTGGAAAACTCTCTGTGGGTTGTACCGAGTTAAGAAGAACCTATTTTGGCCAGAAGTCAGCCATCTATTAACCCTAGCACTTTGAGGGTTAGCCGGAGGATCTGGAGATCCAGGCCAGTTTGGGACTACATAAGACCTTCCCTGTCAGGAAAAAACAAGTAAAAAAGTAAAAACAAAGCTATTGCTATGAAATAATGTCTCAAAACACACTGAAGGATGAACTTTGGGTAGCTGGAGAGATGATTCAGCGGCTAAGAGCACTGGCTGTTCTTCCAAAATCAGAGGCAGCTGTGAGCCACTCAACATAGGTGCTGAGATTTTTGAACTCTGATTCTCTCCAACAGCAGTATGTGCTCTTAACCATTGAGCAGTCTCTCCAGCCCAAAAGTGCGGTCCTTTTTTTTTTTTTTTCTTCTTTTTTTTTTTGGTTTTTCGAGACAGGGTTTCTCTGTTTTTTTGGTTTTTTGAGACAGGGTTTCTCTGTATTATTTTGGAGGCTGTCCAGGAACTCACTCTGTAGACCAGGCTGGCCTCGAACTCACAGAGATCCAACTGCCTCTGCCTCCTGGGATTAAAGGCGTCCTCCAACGATGCTGGGCTCTCTCCAGTCCTTAGGAGCACTTTTGGAAAGACTCTAGAGGTTCCCTATGTTCGCAGGGTTTCCTCAATTTACCTGATTTTTAGCTTAACCTAGCTGGGCCAGCCCAGTTCCCAGGATCTCACTCGTCAGAGAGGGCCTTAGTATTGGTTGTTTTGCTTTGTGTGAGCCTCACTAGTCCAGGCTGGTCTCAAACTTGCTGTGTGCCTGAGGATGACCTTGCACATTGTGGTGTTTTGAATATGAGTGGCCCCCATAGACTCGTATGTTTGAATGCTTAGTCACAGGGAGCGCACTACCGGAGAAGGATTAGGAGCTGTGGCCTTGTTCGAAGAGGTGTGTCACTGGGGGTAGACGAGGTTTCAAAAGCCTCTCTCTGTCTCCCCTCCCCCCTGCAGATCAGACATAGCATAGTGTTTTCAGTGTCATTCTTGCTCCATGTGGGATCACAGGGGATCAACCCTCTACAACTGTGAGCAAGTCCCCGATTAAAGTTTTATAAAGGTTTAATTTTTATAAAGTTGTCGTGGTCACAGTGTCTCTTCATAGCAATAGAACAGTAACTAAGACAGACACCCTACCCTGATTATCCTACCCACACCTTCTCCAGAGTGCTGGGGTTATCATAATCCACCACCATACTCCATTTAGGAAACATTGGGGGGACTCTGGACTGGAAATTCTTCAGGAGGAACCTTGCCTCCTCTTATCCATACTGGCCTCGTGGGGAGGGGAGGTGCCTGGTCAGATGCAATCCCTGGGTTTGAGTTCCAACACTTGTGAGCCCTAACTCTGGCCATGTTACCTAACCTTACTGTTTTGCCCCCGTCCCAGTCCCGTCCCGTCCCCCCCCCTTCCCCGTGACAGATCTGGGGAAGCTGTGAGATAGCAGGTGTCGCGGTTCCTGGCTGCATGGTAAGAGTTAAAAACTCAGACCTGCTGTTTACTTCCTAAGCAACATGCATCACGAATTGCAGATGCCCAGAAGGCACGCATCCTCTGGAGTGAGTGAGTGAATGAGTGAGTGAGTGAATGAGTGAGTGTGTGTGTGTGTGTGTGTGTGTACACCTGAGCCTGACGAAGCCACACCCCCAACTACCACCACCTGGAGCTGAGGATCATGTTTGCAGACCCCCAGTGGATTAGGGATCAAAGCTGGCTGAGCCTCCTCCTGGAGGCTCTGGAGCATCAGGAAGCAGACCCTAGCAGAGCTCAGCACCCAGCTCCTTTGTCTCGCCCGCCCGCCCCCTCGTCCCCACTTCCTGCCCAGCTTCTAGCTAGCGATCTGCTCTGCGGCGCGGACTTTGTAAACACGCCGCGCCTGTGGGGTGGACGCTTGATTTGTTTGGGTGCCGCGGAAGCGGAGTGCACGCCCCTGTCCTGTCCGTGCTGGCGGTTGTGATCATGCCTACTGTCTAAAACCAGACGTCCAGCAGCGGGAGAGAACGTGAGGCCACCATCCGAACTCCGGGGGACTCAACTGCCAAGAGGTAGGCTCGGGGGCTGGAGAAGCCAGAATGAATGTGATGTCAGCATCGCCTGCTTTGTCTGGGATGTTCCTTAGAGTCCAGGTTGGAGACCCTAAGGTGGCTTTAGCGGGTCATCGGGCACTCTCCCCTCGGTTTTGTCCCCAAAAGCTTAGTTTACTTTCCCACTGAGTATGATGTTTTGATCAGAGCTGAGGGTCAGAGAAGCAAGCCCCTTAAAGGTTCTCGAGCCTCCTAAATGTGTGCACATCAACCAGCATGGCTAGACCGGTGGTGGCGTTTGAGTCAGCCAGAGCCAAGGAAGGGGACCAGAAAACTAGAATTTTCCGGAAGGTGCTGAGGGTCTCACTCTTCTGCATCTCCTAAGTGTAGACCAGAGAGTAACTGAAGAATTGGACTGCCGTTGCAAGGAAGCACTTGCACTGGCTGAGCACCTACTGTGTGCTTGACACTGTTTCTGTTTGCTGCTGACTTCCTCAACCACTGATGGTGTTGGTCTTGTATTCAACGGAGATGAAGGGAGAAGGGCTCTGGTGATGCGATTGGGAAGGGGACATCTGGGTTGGGTTCCGGAGGATGGTTTTGACCTCAGAGAGAGTTAGGTGGGAAGTCATCGAGATACTTACTACCCAACGGTAAACTGAATCAAACTGGTGTTACTGGGCACGGGGAAATACTGGTAACTGGAAAACAGTCCTCACTCACTTCCAGGCATAAGGACGTGGGAATAAGCAGGAGTGGCTCTGGGAAAGACAAGCTGCTGAGCTGGAGCCCCCAAACTCCAATTCTGTGCAGCAGGAGGGTCCCCCTGGGGATGGCAGGACAGTCCACGCCGTACTGGACAGCCTCTCCCCGTCCTGGACCCTGGCACAGCCACTCCCCGTCCTGGACCCTGGCACTGTCTTCTCCAGCAAGCCCTGTCCTCTGTCCATCACTCCCGCGTCCTCGGGGACCTGGTCCTGCGTGGAGAAGTGACTCGTGTGTGTGTCCCCTCACGCCCTAGCACAGCAGGGGACACATTCCCTGAACACCTTTTCATGTGGCCACAGAGACTGGAGTGGAAAGTGTCTCTGATCATTCCCTCAGGGACACCAGTCTATGCTCAGCCCTCGAACCCATGGTCATGGCCTCCATGGTTCCAACCTCTTTTCTTGTATGTTTCTCTTCATCGAGGACTTGGGATGCTTGCAGAGTCCTGTAGCACCCTCAAGTGTTTATGTAAGTGGTTTAGATGTAGTATCTCATTTAATAGCACTATAAGCTGCATTAAATCAACTACTATTAGTTCCATTTTATAGATGAGGAAACTTGGACACAGGAGGTAAAGAGAGCCCCTTTAAGAAGGACAAGAAGTACATGTCAGGGATCTGGAGACACTGCCCAAGCAGAGGACCCAGGTTCTGTTGCTGACACCCACACAGTAACTCACAACTACCTATTTCCAGGGCTTCAGATGCCCTCTCCTGGTCTCTCCTGATCTCTGCAGGTACCAGGCATGAACATGGTACATACATGTAGGCAAATGCTCATACACATAACAAAATAAATCTTTTTTTAAAAGAAATGGATGTCAGGCTGGGCGGTGACGTACAGTGAGTTCCAGGATAGCCAGGGCTACACAGAGAAACCCTGTCTAGATAACAACAAAGAGGAGAGAGAGAGACAGAGAGAGACAGAGAGAGAGACAGAGAGAGAGAGAGACAGAGAGAGAGAGAGACAGAGAGAGAGAGAGGATGTCAGAGATGGACTTTAAGTCCAACTCACTTGACCTGGGAGATCCTGTCCTTTGTTTTGAGGCAGGGTATTGCTCTTTTTTTTTTCCGAGACAGGGTTTCTCTGTGGCTTTGGAGGCTGTCCTGGAACTCGCTCTGTAGACCAGGCTGGCCTCAAACTCACAGAGATCTGCCTGCCTCTGCCTCCCGAGTGCTGGGATTAAAGGCGTGCACCGCCAACGCCCAGTCAGGGTATTGCTCTTAGCCCAGACCTCGAACTCCCAATCTTAACTCAACCTCCCATGTGCTAGGATGAGAATTACCCATCACCATTACATCCAGGTCAGAGTCGCTGCTCTTGGCCTGGGGTCAGCTCAGGGTTCTCAGGACAGCACAGCACAAAGACAGTACCCTATCTTATGTGGTTGTGGGTGTGCGCATGGGTGTGACGTCACACATCTTCAGTCCCAGCACTTGGGACTCTGTGAGTTGGAGGCCAACCAGTTCCCAATAGCAAATTCCAAGCCAGCCAGTGCTACATAGAGAGACCGTCTCAAAAAGATGCACAAAACGTATTTATTTTATACGTATGGCTGTGTTGTCTGCATTCATCTTTGTGTACCGTGTGTGCCCGGTGCCCACAGAAGCCAGAAGAGGGTGCTGGGTCCCCTGGACTGGAGTTGGCTTCTGGGAGTTGTCAAGTGGGTACTGGAAATCAAATCCGGGTCCTCTGGAAAAAACCAGCCCATGTTCTTTACACCGGGCCGTCTCTCCAGCCCTCGCCTTACTTTTTGAGGCAAGAGTTTCTCACTAAATCTGGAGCTTGCCATTGGGCTCGACTGGCTAGCGGGAAGTCCTTGTCCCAGCCCCTGGAATCCGCCTGTCTCCCTCCCTTGTCCCGCCTCACCGCAATTGTATGACAGATTTGCAGCATGTGCCTGACTGCTTTGGGATCTGAACTCAGTCCTCATGTGCGTGTAGCAACTACCTTCCCAATGAGCCATCTTTTGAGACATCCTTTGAGACAGGTCTCCTAAG